GATCCACATTTAGTTTCTGGAAGTGGTTATAACGCTTATTACAAGAGTTCCGCGTATGGCGAAGTGGAAAGAGATCGGCATAGAGATCGAGATCGTCTCATAAAAGAACGGCCACGACATTCCGTTGAAAGAGGCTATGATCGGGATCGTGGGTCACGTCATAAGTATAGTAGCTCACGTCATGGTCGCCATTACTACTCTCGAGGATCACGGGAGAGGAGTCCGGACATAAGCAGAGATCGTTTATATAGTTCTAGAGACAGAGATCGAGACACAAGGTCATATGATTATTCTCGCTCGAAAGGACGAGATAAATTTCGAGAGCGCAATAGATCAAGAGATCATTCTCGCGATCGGATGAGGGACAGAAGAGATCATCGCTTAAGTTCGTCAAAGGAACGGGATTACCGAGAACGAGATCGAGACAGATCTATGGATATTGATGGTGATCGGAAGGAGCGCATTAGTTCTAAGCACGATATACGCTATGAATGCACTGAAGACGAAAATGGTACCTCATCGGTGTTTCAAAACCAACAATATTATTCTGGCATTCCGGCACCTAACCATATACCGTCTGATTACGGATATAGCCATTACAGCTACACTATGAGTGAAAGTGTTCAATCATGGAGCAGCTCCCACCGAAGGTGGCCCGCCCCACAACCAGACTCACAGATTATACCGCCACCACCTCCGCCCCAAGAAGAGGAAGAAAACTGGGACGATCCACAACCTCCACCATTAAAGTCATATTCAAAAGATATCTCACCTTCAACGGAGGCAGTTGGTATAAAGCAACAACTATCACCAAAACGACCACAGTCAAGCAAGTCGAATAATAATCTCGAGACAGCTGCCGAATCAGAGACAAACTCGGAGAACGTTGACTTGGACACACGTATTGCACTCATATTTAAAGGCAAGACCTTTGGAAATGCTCCACCTTTTCTGCAAATGGATAGCAGTGATTCTGAAACAGAAAAACCTAAGGTTGATGATATCAATGAGGCAGGGGATTCGAATCATTCAAATAGCAACCAGAACAAGCATGGAACTGATAAAACTCTTTCGGCTTTACAGCAGCAAGGCGCTAGTGATATATCAAGTGATGACGACATTCTGATTAAGAAAGAAATTCCGGTCCCTGTTGAAAAGTCTGAAGCAAATGATAACAATGACGATAACATGTCTTTGTCAAGTTTATCATCACATGAAGAAACGGTAAAAGAACCTGCGCATCCGTCAACCCAACTGGCATCAAAAATGATGTTTGCAGGATATACGGATCCCCATGCATCAAATCATAATAATTATTACTATCATCAATCAGCATATGGATATGGTCACTATCCATCTGCCATAGCACCGAGCTCCGGATTGACCGGAAAGTACTTTTCGAACCCCGCGTATATGCAAGCGCCATACCTCCCGGGAGTTGTTTCGGCAGACTCCTTCAATTTAGATCCGTACATGCAAACATATGGTTATCAGCATACCCAGCCGGATCAAAATGATGAGGTGAAGCAAAACGTTAAAAAGGTTATGAATATTATTGTTGAAGAACTGAAACAAATCCTTAAACGAGATGTTAACAAACGCATGATTGAAATGACAGCTTTCAAGAACTTTGAGGCTTGGTGGGATGAGCAAACGGCAAAAGCGCGTACAAAACAATTGCCAGCAGTTGCCGAGACCAGTACAACTAATAACATTGCAGCGGAAAAACAAACATTGCAAGAGAAACCGCCCGACATTAATCAATTAATTAATACGCAAAGAGAAATTCCAGACTTTCAGTCCTTCACCAGTATTGGTATACGAGCTGCAATGCCTAAATTGCCATCATTCCGCCGTGTGCCCAAACATCCTAGTCCCGTTCCCGATAAATTGGAACGGGATCTTAGTGACCAAGAAGAAATGGTACAGCGTTCGGATTCAGATAAAGATGATTCAAATTTGGGTAGTTCCGATGCTCCAAATCTTAGCTTAAAACGACGCACCTTGCAAAGGGATATTGGAAAATTACGTCTTACATCAAACAATATACGACTGAAAAGAAAGGGAAGTGCCTCAAGTTTCTTCTCGTCGTCTACGTCGTCGTCTTCCAATAGCGATGGTGAAAATGATGCTGACGATATGGGCAATAGAGCAGAAAATGACAGGAGTAGCGATGATGAAAGCTTTGATGAAGACATCCCATCCAGCAATTTAAGTGAAAGGGACAAGTTTACCAAGAAGCGTAGACGTGACTTGAAAGCTTCCGATGAAAAAATATTAAATGTATATTCGGATTCTGAGGAAGAGAATCAATCAATAAATCGAATTTCGTCAACCAAGCGAAGTCGTTTGAAAAAAATTGACATATACTCTGATACTGATGAAGATGATGATCAGAAAACAGAGAGTAAAATATTTACGAGCTCTAAACCTAATCTCATGTCATCCATTCCGTCTGACCTCGAAGACATAAGCAAGGATAGTTGCTTTGACATGGACGAAACGGAAATGGCTTCAACATTTGAAAGAGAATCAAAGACGGATGATAAAATGGAAAGTGAATCCCGCCGATCTCCTACACCTGTTCCGCCACCGGATTACAACGAAGAAACTGTATCAAAGTCTGATGGCTTAGGTACAGCGAAATCTCATTTCGGGTATGATCGTATCTATAGTGATTCGGACGAAGAACGAGAGTATCAGGAGAAGAGACGGCGAAACACAGAATACATGGCCCAAATCGAGCGCGAATTTCTAGAGGAACAACAGAAAAAGTCAAGTCAGACAGACAATAAATTAAACGTTGATCTCAATTTGGATATTGATAAAATGTCTAGCTTTGAGATGCCTGACACACCTGATATTACAAAACTGCCTCCAACACCCGGTGCAAAATTATTAGTGGAAGAAGCAAAAATATACAAGAAAACTGTTATAGATGCTGACGTCGAAGGAAAACACTATTTGAGCACAGTAAAGACTGATATTTGTTTGAAAAGTACTAAAAGTACTAATAATCAGTCGAATGAGATTGAAAATACAATTACTTCGAAAACAGACACCGATCTAAAAACGGAAGTTTTTAAAACAGATCAATCTGGCACTCAGCAGAATGAGGATACACGAATTTATAACGGAAAGGAGTCTCCTGTCTCTTCAGACAGTGGATCCAGTCAAGCGTCCCAAGCTAGTCAAGTGGCATTAGAACATTGTTATTCCTTGCCTCCGCAAGCACAAGGTGCATTCGCAACCGGCGCTTCAGCGGACCAATTTGATTCTAAAAATAAAAAAGAGGCGGAAAATATGCAGCTTGCTAGGCCTGGACCAGGAAGGCCTCGCAAGGACTCTGTTCGAGCGCAAAAGAAGAAGAAAGATTTTTCAGTACGACAGGTTAATAAAACGACGAAAATGGAGTCAATGAAGAATACACTTTCTGAATTAGCTCGCCAAACCTCTAACTTTGTTCCGTGTGAAATGTTCAATCCTCGTGATCAAAATGAAGAAATGGTAATCCTATACACTTTCCTGACAAAAGGCATTGATTTGGAGGACATTAAGTACATCAAGATGAGCTATATTGAGCATTTGCAAAAGGAGCCATATGCGTAAGTCAATTATTGTTTAGATTTCAAGCAAACTTCTAATCAACTTTATTGTTTGTAATTTTAGTATGTTTTTGAATAATACTCATTGGGTTAATCACTGCACCACGGACAGAGCGTTCTGGCCGCCGCCTCCTAAAAAACGGCGTAAGGACGACGAGCTTATGAGACACAAGACCGGTTGCGCACGTACTGAGGGCTTTTATAAATTGGATGTACGCGAGAAGGCTAAACACAAATATCATCATGCTAAGGCAAACATACATGACACTCAAAATGACGATCGATGCGACGAGCCAACGGCATTGACGAATCATCATCATAATAAATTAATATCTAAAATGCAAGGCATTTCTCGTGAGGCTCGATCGAATCAGCGACGTCTTCTGACGGCCTTCGGATCGATGGGCGAGTCCGAGCTTTTGAAATTCAATCAGCTCAAATTCCGTAAAAAGCAGCTGAAATTCGCAAAATCGGCAATTCACGACTGGGGATTATTTGCCATGGAACCTATTGCAGCAGATGAAATGGTTATTGAATATGTTGGCCAAATGATTCGACCAGTAGTTGCAGATTTAAGAGAGACCAAGTATGAAGCGATTGGCATTGGAAGCTCATATTTATTCCGAATCGATATGGAGACTATTATTGATGCGACTAAATGTGGCAATTTGGCAAGATTTATAAATCATAGCTGTAATGTAAGTATAACTAAATGATACCAATGATTAAAGCTCTTGTTAATTTATTGATTCTTAATTCTGCTTGCAGCCAAATTGTTATGCCAAAGTCATTACCATAGAGTCCGAAAAAAAGATTGTTATATATTCAAAACAACCTATTGGTGTTAACGAAGAAATTACTTATGACTACAAATTTCCTTTAGAGGAGGAGAAAATCCCATGTCTATGTGGAGCTCAAGGGTGTAGGGGTACGCTTAACTAAATCAGAGAAGAACTGGCTTTAGATACGCTGCAAAATTACTAAAAATTAATGTTAAAAATTGCTTTTATTTTAACACACTATGTTATTACAGCGCTTAAAGGAACACAATATTATTTTATGTATTCTGTTACATTTAGTTAGAACATTTTTGTATCTTAAGTAATTTAAAATTATATAAAAAAGAAATTCAAAGCATTGCATCGCCGCCTGTTTTGAATGATAGACCTTAAATTCGTAAGATTTGTCGTTCGTAACGTTTTGGTTAATAAAGGTAATATATAACATGTAAATTTGACAAAAAAAACGCCTGGTTTTTATATGTTTCATTTTTTAAGAATTGTATCAATAGTCACCAATATTTACCTTAAATATAGTTTTTTTTAAAACTTAATTTTAAGCAATATGGAACTCTACTTTATTAAGTATTTATTTTTAATAATAACAGTTCTTTCTGGTATGTAAATATATATAAGTCTACATTGAAGTGTATAATATTAGAATGTGAATAATATGTATAAAGTAAAATGCTAAAAAAGGATGTGCAACGTATTTAATTTACTCATTAAATATTGCTATGAAAATGATATACTTCAAAATCGATTTATTGTATCAAAGTGAGTTTTGAAATATGTTGAAAATCAAAGGATGTTTTGAGCGATGGAATTGATTAAATATTTTACAAAATCTGTTGGGAAAATAGGTAGAACGGATTCCTGTATGCATGCCATATATGTATGTAACTCTGCAAACATCTAGGGGTAATAAATAAATATAAAGAATACAAGAGTTTATGTGATTTGTATGTCATTTAAGCACTAAAAGTCGTGTTCAACGAACATGGATAATTTCAGAACAGAGATTACAGATTATTTGGTCTTAACCGCGCTTCAACCATTTTCAAATAAATCAATATCTTCGACATCATATCAGATTTTTAGCAATTTTATTCACACAATTTATTTAGTCTATATACATATATAAATTACTTAAACCACTATTCACAAGGGGTTAAAAATTCATTTTAAATTGGGCTTTAATGTTATTTGCATATCTAATTGTGATTGGGCAATGTCCCCTAGAGCCGATTGTATCTTTTCCAGCAATAATTCTCCTTTCTGAACAACTTGTTCGAGCTGCTCAGCAGTTTCCTGATTTTCAATCTCCAGTCGCTTAAGACTCGAATTTTGTAATTCAATTGAACTGTCTTCATTGGGCAATGATTCAATAAGCGTATCAATGTCCTTAGCACATCGAGCTATGAGCTGGGCGAAAAGTTGAGCATAGTCTTCCTGAGGCGGGTTCTGTACGGGTGTCTGTGAGCCAGTTCTGTCGAAATTTGCAAACTTGCTGGGATATGAGGTTTGCTGAATTACACCGATGGCATTGCAAAAGTGCTCAGCTTGCTAAAAAAAAAAGGCAATGCAGTTACTTATATCTTTGTCAACCATAAATCTATTGCCCGCTTACTTGATTGACAGTGTCCTGCAGTTGAGTAAGCCGGTCTGCCATAGCTTATTAGGCTTTCGCTCTTTTTTTCTAATAATTTTAACTCATTAACGAAAACGTCGAATTCTATGAAGCAAACTGTTGTGCATTAGTGATGGGAGTAAAGGCAGCACACATTCTATCGACTGTCGATGCTCCTTAAATATCGATTTCAGATTTAAGGCTATCGATTTCACTTTAAATTTTTTATCGACTATAAAATACTAGAAAACATATTTTCTGATGCGCGGGTAATTATTTTAAAAATTTATTATATTCACCCATATAAGTATTTTACTTTATACGTACATAAGTAAGTAAGTAAGTCCACAACTTGTATAAATCTTTTTAATATAACATTTAAAATTGTGTCGTTAATAAATTCAACTAATGGCAAAATAAGAAATTTGTGCTATACTAAATCTTAGCCCTTTCCATAGAAAATATATGATATAATCTGTTATTTCGCTCAGTTTTCATAAAATGTGTGCTTTGATAAATATTATGCGTATTATTATGCGATTTACCAGAGGACATTAGTTATAGAATAATTCTATGATCATAAATTTAACAATTGATGTAAGAACGTTTGTATTTTTTACGTATGTTTATTTCTTTATTTGACACAGTTTTAGTTACAGCCATATATTTCTATGCAGCATATGTGTTATTCTTAACGTCTATGTAAAAAATGAATTTAGAAATAAAAAAGGTGTAGCCTAAATTTAACAAAGTATAAGAACGAAATTGTTATTTCGAAGATAATATTTTATACGGAAATCATCAATTTTTATTTGATAATTATAATTACCTTATCATAATACAATTTTGCATGTTTTCTAGCATTACTGGGCATAAATATCACGTGTATTATGTATTCAAATTATATAATATGAAGACGATTAAGGCGCACACTAGCTGTGTCATTTGAAAAACAACATATTTACTAGCGAATGTGTGAAAGATAATGTAAAAAGGTAGCTAAGCGTAATACTTCTGGGATTCGGTGTTCATGTTCAACACACGGTTCCTTAGGCGCCATGAACCATGACCACTCTCAACAGACCCCATGAAATGTATATTAAGACTTACATAGGTGAAGATCAACACAACATACAACATACAACATTCATACGTGTGTTGAGCATACTCAGCGAAGCGACGCTCTTCAGAGGCACTAAAAACAAATTTCTCCAAACCAGTTGAGCAGCTCAAAGAGCCGAAAATGTGACTGAAGTCCGCACGCTTGGACTCGCCGTTAATCAGTCTTGGTTTAAAGCTGGTGGACGAAGCACGATATTAGATTTTTGTTAAAAGTGATAACTTCGCGTCGCTAAAGAAGTGAAAGGCCTCCCCAATTGTGATCTATTTAAACTTGAAGAACCGCAGCGAAAACACAAACTGATAACATCACACCGAGCCCTACATAAATTAAAAAGTCTGCTATGAGGGATAGTAGCAACAAAAATTGCCCAAGAAGACCTCAACTGCATGTGAGTTGCCCATTTTAAAGAATTGCTTCTTTTAGCATCATTGTGAATCGTCTGTGAGAATGAGTTCATGTACATATGGATCTATATATATGTATGTATATATAGAAAAGTACATATATATGGCTCATACGAATATTCACACTTTTGCAAGCTAGTGTATGCAGGTATACAAGAGTTTTGAGTAATCCGTGAATAGGTGAAAGTTAGACAATGAAAGCGAATTATATGAAATGTGTAAGTGTGTGTTCGTATATAAGGTGATAATCATATTGCTCTGTTAGCTTTTTAATTTTGTTGTAATTGACTACTAAATACTAAAGTGCATATGATGTTCATTATATATACATACATATTTAGTATGTCCATATCCAGGACATTACGCATTCACAATACCAGTTCAGGAAGTGGAAATAAGATCAATCTAAACTGGTTCTTGGTCTGACTCAAATGTTATTTTTTATATCTTTAAAACGGGTTCTTGTATTCAAAAATATAAAAATGAAAATTCGACACAAACAAAAAACTAATAAAAACAAAAACAGAAAGAGAGCCCAAATATGTTAATAAATTTCGTAAATATTTTGTTCGATTTCTGGCAATAAATATTTATTCCCTTATGCAAAATATTTTATAATTAGTGATCAGTATCAAGAAATTAGCCGAAAGCTTCGGGTTTTTCGTTTTGGGATTAATTAGGAGAGTTTCTTATGATTACGCACGATTTTTTATTCATGTTAAATAGTATTGAGAAATCGAGAGTACAACAGTCAACATTATATACGTTTTTATTTTATTATGGTGTATGGTATATGGATTGCATAAAAATGTACGCATTGTAATAAATTTGGGCGTTTATAGACCTTAGGAAATAGCTATTTGCATAAAACACAAAAGCGCTCTAGTCGTGATGCGCCGCCCCCGCATCGGACTTTGGAAATAAAGAAAAATGGTAGAATGGCAAAAAGCATCCGAAAATAGAAGAATATATAAATAAAATTACCTTCGGAAAAATCTCTTAAAGTTGGACTCAAGAACTGAAAAATCAATTTCAAATATTTTAGCTCTTAAAGCGTACAAAAAATACTAAAATATTTAAAATTTGATATAAATTTTATATTTTGTATATATTATCATTATCTTGCTATTGGAGGACTAATCGATTATTTAGGACTAATTGCGAGTGTCAAAAATCACGTACAAATCTAACTCTTATAGGTGCCGAGCCTGTGGCTGTAATACATACGAATAGATAAACGAACGGATGTACGTACGGACAGGTTAACTGACAGACAAAATGATAGCTGAGCGAGTGGATAAATGATATGAATGATACGAACGGACAGAAGAATCGACAGAACAGCAGACAAATGAATGGAAGGACAAGCAAGCTGTTGTTCCGGATAAAAACATATATAGTCCATAAAGCTCCTACATGTTTATGCAATTACAGAAAAGACTAAATATAGTTAAAAATGTTTATTTATCATAATAAAACTGCTCTAGAACTAAAAATATTCCCCTGTCTATAGCAATTTGAATCATTCTGGGAGTTTTGTATTTTCAGCTAATGCCTGGACGACATAACAATGGCCACCTCAAGTCCAGTTCACATTTCTGTTATCTGTTTCCCATTTTCTGCTTAGCTCTCTCTAGTTTGGTTCCATTCTGCGATGCTCATGGTAGGCTTATAGAGCCTCCCAGCAGAGCATCGGCCTGGCGCTATGGATTTCAAACTCCGCCGGACTACAATGATCACGAGCTCTACTGCGGGGGCTTTACGCGTCAATGGAAGCGCAACGGGGGAAAATGTGGGGAGTGTGGCGACGCCTGGGATATGCCAGAGCCACGCCCACATGAAAATGGTGGTCAATGGGGCCAGGGCGTTATCGTTCGCAGCTATTTGCCCGGCTCCGAAATGACGATACGAGTGGAGCTGACCGCCAGTCACATGGGGTAAGGGGGACTTGCCAATTAATGCTTATGTGTTTTGTTTTGATTTTATTTTGGCTTGCAGCTACTTCGAGTTTCGATTGTGTCCAAAGCCGAGTGCCAAGCAGCTTTGCCTTGACGAAAACGTGCTGCCTATAATAAGTGGCTCGCCATCGCAGCGTAGTCCGAGTGACTTAGACACCCGATTCTATCCTCGTAATGGTAGTCGCATTTATGAAATCAAAGCACGATTGCCAGGTAAATGCTTCGAGTATTTCTATCGCTGTATTTCGTGTCCCCAGTTTCCTCATTACGGTCGATTTATTTATTGCAGATCTCTTATGCAACCAGTGTGTGCTCCAGTGGCGCTACGTAGCCGGAAACAATTGGGGCATGTGTGAGGATGGTGTGGGTGCCGTTGGCTGTGGTCCCCAGGAGGAGTTTCGGGCATGTTCGGATATCGCCTTAACTCCGGATGCTCGTCTACCCATTCGTCCTGCCCGGCCCACACATCGTATTACTACTACAACTGCTACGCCTGCCAAGACTGATCAAGTGGAGTCCACTGACGACCACTTCACTTCGGTTATGTTCTTGATCGGATTTATATTGTTACTGATGATCGCGGCATTCGTAATATGCGGCGTATACGTCTACCTGAAGCCTGCCAAGCTAACCGAGTGGAAGGATATATTCCTAAAGAAGTTCTGCCAGAAGCAAAAAGCTTCTTCCTTAGTTAACCTATCCCAAAGCAAAGTATTTAAGCCTGACTTATCCAACGGATCCATTGATAAGGTCGATGACAGCCACAGCATCAATACACAGGGTCCTGCCCCAATACCACCGCCTCGAACAAGGCGAGATTCGCGCATCAAGGAAATATCAATCATATCCTAAATAGATATTCCTCCCCTCCGACTGGTCCCCAGACTCATTAGTATTCCTTGCATTTCTATACCACATACATATAATAATATATAAATCAACGAAAACTGATTATTTTTAATGCAGCTTATAGCTAGGTATAACTGAAGTGTTCATTTTCGACTGCATTACACTATAATAAGTATAATTAAGATCAATAATTTATTGTGATATCAATAATGTATATTACTCTCCTCAACAATCCAAAATTTTGTCTTCTGAGTAAATAGTTAAATTATAATTTCAAGTATTTTCATTTAAAGCGAATGTGGAACTAGGGGAGAGTCAAAATTGTCAAAATGCATAATTGATTTGGAAAATTATAGAGTATTGCTAGCTCTACATGTCTATGTTCGGATTTTATTGCAATACTTTTCGCAACATTTTGAATTTCTTTTCTATTTTTTTTTTTAGCTGGCTGCAGTCACGTATTGCCTAGGCTTGCAGACGGGAGTTATATTTCAGATACTTCCTCTTATATAAAAGTGTATATATTAGTTTGTATATGTAGTACATATAGGAAGAAGCATATAGAATTTAATGCTTTGGCGTATAAATTGCCAAATACTTGAGCATACTAAATTTGGGCTTAAAATGCAATATTGTTTCTCACTGGATGATATACTTTTTTATATGCCTAACGATATAGATATATTTATATTTATATATATTGAAAGGTAATAACTTATTCCATATTCATTAAATCGATAAAGTGGGATTGAAGATAAAAGATTAAGGAAGTTAGATTTTAAATGAGCTAAAAATACCAACAAATTATTATTTGGAATTTCGTTATCTCTACAACAATTAAAATCAATTGGCAACGCTCCTCTAATCGCCAAAAATGGTATCAATAAACACTTGACAATTAGCAAATAAACTTCTTAATAACTCATTATCATTACGATTGATAAAATATCGATTTAAATCGATATTAAGGGCGACAAATCCAAAAGATAAGAGAAGCTAAAGATTACGTATTTCAAACGCCAAATTTCACAGCAAAAGATGGTGAATATGAACTATATACATATACATAAGCAGTTCATATTAATATACATATAAACATATTTATATTTTCATATATACATTTCAGTTCAGTCAACGACGAACAGATGTCGAAGATGAATTATAGATTTGTATATATACTCATTTATTATTTATTTATTTATTCGTCTTTGGTTGAAATAATACAAGCTATAATAGGTTAATAGAAATATTATAAACTGAATATGGAAAACATGTGTTCCAAATGCTTCCAGAACGTCTAAAGGCAGCCAACAAATTATTTATCAGACTGTAAAGAGCATATGTAGTATATACATATATTTTACAAAGGAAAAACATCTTCATTTTTTGCTTGAAAAATTAGAATCAATGAACAATTAAATAGGTCAACAGAAAGTAAAAAAAAAAATATTTTTAAAGAATAGACTTTGTAGAAAGAGCTTTGGAAAAGGCAAGGTTTTTTTTTTTTTGGGGATATTGATGTATTCAAAAAATATTAATATGTTAAAGGGAAGTCAAAAGAGACGCGAAGAGGTGTTCCGAAGGTCTAAACAACCTTTTGATGCAGATTTAATTTAGCGCCGGGGAAACTTCTGGAAAATTGGATTTGTTGCCTTGGTTATAATATGTAATTACAATATGCTGACCTGTGATATTATTCCAACTATATGTACAGCCTGTATTCAAATTTAGATATAATTTGGTCAAATTGTAAACCCTATTTGAATGTTTACTTTCTTCAACTTTTGAACTAGCTTATCTTAGAGAAATTTATGCCTTTTTTTTTTTTTTATATATTTACGTTTAATTTTTGAGGCTTTATGATTTGATTTAATGTTCTTCAGATATACATACATAAATGTTAGATATACAAACACTAGGCCCCAAATTTGCTGTAAAAATAATGCTCCCATGTGTAAGAGTATTTTGTGGCGAATGCTTAGTTCATGGTTTTGCTCTTTTCGTTAGTCAACTGTCAGAATTGGTTCCTGGCGGACGTGTGCTCAGCGCTGCTCGCCGTAGAACTTGTGCTTCGACATACATACGTATGCATATAGAAGACTATTTATATCTTGCGGATCGTAAAAATAAACGAAAAAGTTTTGAAACATTATTTTTCAATGGCCTCGGTGTGCGAGCCATCTGTTCCATTGAACAGAGTTGTGCAAGGTTCTGCATTCGAAACAGACCCGGATCCAGATCCCGATCCAGATAATATTCCATACCATGCCCGCGAGGATGCACTTCCTTTCACGTACGGCAACGTTCCGGTCGGCTTCAATACCAGTGACTTACATCACGTCGAAACAAATGAGCCCACTGGCATATCGGACAAGTCTGTGCAAATTAAAAATGCGGCCAGCCATTCCTTACCCCGAAAGAGCGTTCGACCCAGCATTTCGGCGTCGTGTCCGTTGGTGCGGAAGACACCTTCCCGCCAAGAGTTCGAAGATATGCTTATGGAGCGCAAAGTGCATGTGGAAGATGCGAACAGAGCACTCGCGAGAAAGTTAGCTCAGGATGAGACGATTCAGAGGGACTTGGATGAGCTGCACAAGCGACTCAACTCGCCGCTACTTGAGAGAAAAGCAATTAGGGAAGAGCTGATTGAGTCCACTGATCTACCAGACGCCGAATTAGGTTCTCCTAGCAAAGGACGGAGTCCGGAATTGCAGCTCGTCGAAAAGAGTCGTTCGAAAACTCCAACGTTTCCATACGTTCAGAGACCCCTGAACTCCGAGCGATGTGTCAGCCCGTATCCAACACCGAAACCAGCAAAGACTCTAATGTTCGATGATGGGTCAGAGCTGCACCATGGGGAGCGGGCTCCTCCGCAGGCCGATGTGTTTGTTAATCATACCAAAGAAGTTGAGCCACATCTGGTTAAGTTTGCCAAGGACTCGTCTCACTTTTGGTACAAGCCCAACATGAGCCGCGACGAAGCAGTCGACTTGCTGCGTGATGCAAGACCCGGAACATTTCTCATTCGCAACTCAACAACGTACCGCAATGCATTTGGCTTGGTCTTACGCGTAGCTAAGCCGCCGCCTGGCGTGGTGACCGGACCGGGATACGGGGACCAGTTGGTACGCCACTTCCTCTTGGAGCCCACAAATCGGGGTGTTCGCCTGATGGGATGCAGCAATGAGCCAATCTTTACGTCATTATCGGCCTTTGTATACGAGCATTCAATTAACCAAATGTCTCTTCCCACCACCCTGATTATACCAGATAGAGATCTACTGCTGATCTCGAATAACGAGGAGTTGATCCTGAGTCAAAAGCAGGTCCTGGCGCAGGGTGCCGCTTGCAATGTGCTCTACCTGTTCCAGCACAATATGGAGTCCCTCACCGGTGACGATGCAGTTCGGAAGGCGGTCAATGAAATGTACTCAGCCCCGACGGCACCAGTTCCCTTGGAGGTTCACATAAAGATATCGGAACAGGGAATCACACTGACCGACAATACGCGCAAAAAATTCTTCCGCCGTCACTATCCGGCTAAAAACATTTCGCACTTCTCCATGGACCCCGGCAATCACTTTTGGAGCGTTCCAGCATCCGACGAAGGACTACAGCGTTCCGTCAATAAGTCAATCTTCGCCTTTGTGGCACGGCCCCTGACTGGATCCAAAGACAATCAATGTCATATCTTTTGCGACCTGTCCTCTATGCAGCCCGCTTCGGCCATTGTTTCCTTTGCACACAAGGTTCTTCCGCTCAATCACAATTGCAAAATGTTGTAAATTCGATAAATATTCAGTATGCCTTATTGATATGATAAACAATAATGCAGATATACCAAAAAATTTTAAATATTTATATATATTTAATATTTATATTTATATATATTTATGCAAATAATATGTTCTTTATTCAGCAAGAATCTGAATATATAATTGATTTTTATGTAATAAGGAAATAAACAAACATGAAATAAATTGAATAGCATTTTCCAGCGAAATATTTCTTATAAGCATCTACATTTGTTTCGGGCTGTGAGTAAATGGGATAATGGAATAGAATGTGTTAATATAGGATTTAGAATTTGCTCTAGATTTCTTGAATAATTGAGAATATTACATGTATAGACTATAGACTATTAGACTTTTTTTGGAAGCCGAGTTTCAGATAAGCAATCAGATTGCAGTCAGATGGTTCCTCATTATTTGAGCAAAATTTAATGCAATTTAGTCAAGAATCACATAGTACACACATAATCCTTATTTGGCAGAGAATTGCCGAGTGATGGACACTACTTAGACTAAGGGTTCAATTAAGCCAAGATATGTGGGTAACAAAGAAAGAATTTTGATGATTATAAAAGGTATTTTGATTGAGTAGTAGTAGTAGTAGCAGAAAAAAGTAGAAGTATTTGTAGAAATAGTAGTATTAGGGAAAAATAGAAGCAGTGGCAGAGAAAGTTGTAGTAATAGTATTAGTAGGAAACAAATAGTAGTAGTAGTATTCGTTGAATATAAAATAAAAGTCTGTTGGCTACAAATTAAATAAAGTTTAAGATCTACCTCCATTGAGACGTGAACTAAGTTTCTTCATATATGTAACAAAATAGATATGTGAGCTGTTTAAGGGCTTCTTTTGAAAGTCTTGTAGATTGTGATTGAGGCAAGTTATGAACATAGAGTTTCAGTCTATTAAAAACTTTTTAATTAAATAAGAAAAGAAAATAACAATTTATTCCCAGCTTTCCAGTTACTTTTTATTACTGTTTCTAAGCCTAAGTTTGCTCCGTCAAATCTGTTGAAGAGCCCGTTATACCGGATATTAGTTTTTTTGTAAATTTACGAAGCTCTAAAGGATCCTCGTTGTTGAAATCGTCCATAACGGTTTGCATTTGCTCCTTCAGTCCGTCAGCAATCGATGTCGTGATTCGATCCTTGAACAAATTTGTGATAGGACTTAAAATAAGTCCAGTAAATTCACGAATTAAACGTGCTTGATCCAATTGTACATGAATATTGCTATTAAGGAACATAAACCCATAATTAGATATAGAGCTACATTAATATATCGTATATGCATATGTGTATACAGCACCTGAATTCAATTATACGAAAGTCGTGCAGATGAAGCTTCGAAGTAATCACATTGACAGCCAGTTCAGCATAGATGATGGTATCATCCAAAGAGCCAATCACCTTTCCGTAACCCTCAATAGCCATGAGCTTCAGCAAAAAGTTGTATTCAAACTATAACGCAGAGGAAGGTGATGCCAATTAATTAATCATTATAATTATTGTCAAGGAAAGATTCGAATAGCGTATATCTGAATATAATGAACAGAAGAAGGAAGTGCATTTGGTCTCTGATCAAACAGCTATTTTTCGAGGAACATGTTATGTACAAGTCTATCTCTCGTGAAATACACACGAGAGTGTGGGCGAGTATTCAAACAATACTAAATGAGTATATTAACCTCAAAAGTTATTTAACCATTTTCAATAAATCTTGCTTCTTTTTGATCAAGAGCAGATTTTAAGTAATAAAACATCGATCAGTTATGGCCTAGTGATATCATCACTTACTGTCAAGTGATATCAGAAAGAATCTATGATCTATGATCTTACTTTGGATCTGACTGAACAGAACGAGTATTTTGATTGAATCCTAAATAAAACTGAATATACGGTATTCAGAGCTTTCAGATTATAGATAATCATATATCTAAATGATATTTCAGAAAAGCTCTCAGCTCATTCATTGATTCTCCTCGTGGAATGTTGTTGAACTCTTGCGTTACATACCTGAAGTTTATTTATTTTCAAATAAAATTTACTCAGGAACGATTTGCCTTCATAGGTCATGAATGCATTTTTGTGTCTCTGTATTCCAGCCAGGTTGTAGACGATTCCATTAGTCAGGTGTAGACCGGCTTCATACGTTATGAAGAAAGGCTTCTAGCAGGCATTTCGTTTTGCATTATTCATAGTTAGTGCGATTATGGTTATACTTACAATAGAGATGCTCTCTTTCATGTCTGGCAGATCGAGATGGGCTATACCCAATTTTTGAAGGTGAGCTAACACCATGGGCGTCACCACGTCGACTTCGGCATCGATGTTCGTCCAGCCGACATCATCCTTTTCGAAGCTGCTCTTCGGATCACCACTGTCACCCGTATCTCGAGTTCTTTATCGAAAACCAACAAAGGAACATTTTAATTCGAGAATGAGTGTAATTTTAAATAACAGGACTTTGGTTAGAGCTCATGATATTCTTAAAGCGGTAATATAATACTAAATATTTTCTATCTATCTATATATTATATCAAAGCTTTCCCTAAAGCCCTAGTTTTTACTTTTATGAGGATGTGCATAGATTAATCGCTTAAGGCAAATGGAGAAAGAAATACTACTAAGAAACTACTTTATTGTTTCAACTGAAAGTTGAGATTTTAAAGATATACACATTCCCTATTTGCTATGTCGATGTATTTTTTCACAGAAATTCCCCCAAATCAATTCACACTTTTTAAATAATGAGCAAATAAAAACGTTACTGTCAGACACTACTGTTTTATGAATACTCATTCATTGTCCAAGAACAACTGAGTATATATAGTATACAGATATATACATGGGGGCGTGATAAATCAGTAAAGTACATATAGCCCGGAGGTAAGCACTGAAAGTGAGCTTTCTAAAGGTAGGCCAATGATTTATGTATTTGATCCGCCTAGAAACGTATAAAATATATATCCTAAGTGAATACATTATTATTATATTAAATTATATTATAGTATACGAATTCTTTCTTAGCTTCAAATTTTTGGAAGACGTATAAAACTATTTAGCTCTTCTTCATTTGGTGAACGGGTAATAATAGTATTTATGGATAAATTTGTGTAATGTTTCTCTTCTTTTTTTTTCTTCACGTCTTTACCATTTTACAACTGAATTGAAATGGAAATGGACTTTAATTATAACACAAATTTGAAAAAACTTTTCCACTGAAGTGAAAGCTTGATGAAATAGATTAATAAATAATTACCTGTTCGATTCCTGTTGCACTTTGCCATTTGCGGTAAGTACGAGCAGTAATAATCCAATTAAGTATACACTCATTTTGTCTCTAGTCACATTCATGGTAATTAAATTGCGAACGCAAATTAAATTCAGCTTTTGCCTTTTTTGCTTGATTAATCACAGTTTATCTTAGATCTTGAATGCAATCAACTTTTAGTAGGCTGAACTTTTCTCGGATTAATCACAAAACAAACTTATAGCTATATTATCGTTTCTATATAAATATTAAAATATTCAGAAGTGCGATCTTCGGGGTTAGAATAGAAAATAAATAGATAATTTTGTCATGAGTAATTTTGCACACACGTTTGTAGAAATATTTAGATAAAAATGAAACGTATTTAAATGAATTATGATGTATTAAATCACTCGGATAAATAATACTGGGAATCGGGCTCGTAGGTATCCATTTGTTTGTACATTTTTATTGACTGTTTATTTGACTGCTAATGTTCTCTGTTGTGCAAATAAACGCTTTATTAATTAATTCGCATTCGATACACGGATTAAAGGCACTCATAAATGAAATATGTGTATATATACAATATACGTCCATTTGTGTATAAGCATGTATGTACATACATACATACATATATCATACGTACGTAGTCATACTTATATGCGAACTTGAAACATACACATTTACATATGTCCATATGGATTTGCTACTATTTCATAATAGCATTCACTTTAGTAGACAGCAGCTCGGATAGTTTTCGAGTCAAAATATTGTATTTGAACATTTTGTGCCACTCTAATATGCACAGCGCGTACGGAGACCCTAGTACGATCAAAGTAATTACTCGCTTCCTATTTAGTTACTGCGGCGAAGCTTTTTTGTAATTTGAAGCCAGCCCGAGAGGCCCGAGATCGAATGCCCACCGGTAGACGCACTCGTGAGAGCAGCTGAAACGAAACTAGATGCCGAACGAAACGACTTCAACAAATATAGACTAGAGCCTCGTCGAATTTCGATGCAATCCAGCCTTGATCTTGTTGTCGAGCTTTTGGGGGGTGCGCAAATGGGCAAAGCTTGCCTATTTATAACCACGCTAAGGCAGTCAGCTCTGTATACCCTGTAATAAGAAAGTGCTGCCTCCGTTGGGTGCTACAATTGAACACCATTTCCACTTGATAGCAAACAAGTCTATTGGGTAGAATCAAGCTGAATGTAGATAGCCAAGTTTTCAACTTAGCCATTGTAAAAGCTTAGCTCATGGCTCAGAGATCGTTGCACTCGCGTTGTAATTTTTATAGCACTATATTATTGGAATGAATTATATATTAGTTTACCTTTTTAATTATTACTTTAACAAATAACCAATATAACTTCATTCAGACTAAGCTGCCCTTTATTCGAAACACAATCTATTATCATTACCTGTATAGAATACTAAAAATAACAATCAAAATATTACAAGTAACTACAAATTGCAGAGCAAGTGAGCACCAACATGGCAGGTGTCGATACTCTTCAGCTAAAACCAAGCTCACTTATATTCCTCTATACTTTATCACAGACATACCTACCTATACAATCACCCGAACGCCTCAAGCTATATTTTTGTGCTGCTGAGCTTCACACTCAGGAGAGAATTTTCTTAAATAACTGTGTTTATCTTTTTTCCGACTGCAACAGACTGTTGATAGCATTTATAAACGAGCTCACATTAATACAATGTGATGTGCGTGCGTGCTGCCCGCGATGTACACGTACAGTGAATCCTCAATGGACGGACAGTAAAACTATTCGGTCATGCGATTTGTACGTTTATGGAAATTGCAGATCGAACAAATGTGAAAACATTACAAGCTTTTCAATGCTTGAAGCAACCGTTTTACTTTGTATTGTCCGTCCATGAGAAATGGCTTTTGTATAGAATTTTTAGAAAATGTTACAAATTAAACTGTTTATCATTAAGATAAACTGTTGCAGCTGATTTTACATAATTAGAGCGATGAAGCAATATGCATACAATATAATAAACATATATGGGATCAATAAACCGGTGCTTGTCTTAATGTAGTTTGAGCTCGCCGGTTTATCAAGCAGGGGCGACAGCTTCCTGAGCATAGGTTGAACTCTGCGAATCGCGCACCAAAATATTTTTCAATTTTTATGCCAGACATTTCCTTAAACTTAAATCTATTGAGTTTGCTGTCCAACTTATTTAAATTATGTAATTGTTAGCAATGAAGGTCTATTACTTTAAAGTTTTCGGTAAATAAATTGTATTAATCGTTCTCTTCTAATCTCATATAAATATTTTATGTATATTTGATATACATATAGCCAATATGATTATACTTCTATTGCTTTAGTAAATTCAAAAGTAATCTTTACAAATTTTTTGTTTTGTTATATAAACATTGACAACGCAACATTTTTAACTAGAAAGGAAATGTAATTTGTTGATCTAATCAGAGAACATTTTACTAAAAGTTCAGAGTCGATGCAGTCACATACGCGTATATATGTATATTGGGGGATCATGTTTTATATGTTCCAGTTTAGGAAGCTGGAGATTGATTAGCAGCTCAATCCATACGTTTTATAGCAGGTTATCACACAGTTGCGCCTACATTTAATAGCTCTGTAAAACTTCGAAAACTAACAATTATTCGGAAGAAGTACTAACAATGATATACGATATAACACATTTTCACAGATTTTCCAATCTCTTGATTTATGATTTATTTGTTGTCGTTTGGTGCTTGCAATGTTGATTGGAGTTCATTTCATACAGGCAGCCCTCTGGTTGGTTGTAACTTAAAACAATTTAACACAATCATACAAAGTGTGGTTTAGTTAGCAGATTGGGAAATTGGATCGATCTTGACATCGGGAAACTTGAATTCGGGAAATTTAAGCATATCGGTCTTTCCATCGCTGCCGTACTGCTTGGCAACACGTTCCAGCTCATTTTTCAATTCTTTCTCGATTTCAGGATTCGGGTCAACCATCTTGCCACCTCTGCAAATAATATGATTGTAGGTCGAATGACATCAATTGTCCATTTGGTACTTACGCGCTCTTCTGCTTATATTCGCGCACCTTGTCCAGAAATAGTTGCTGGATCGGATCGGACGCCTTGTTCAGAGCTGGGGCAACAATGGCAATGTTGCGACGCGCCTCAGTGCGCAGAACACGGATACCGGTTAAAATAGATTGCGACAGCATCTACAAAACAATAGATTTCAAGTATATTCGTGCTAACAATTTGGTAACCTTAAAAGGTTATGTAATGCATGTTGTTTATGTAGCGTTAGGTGATCTGACGTAGGTTATGAATATCTTACTCCAGGTGAAATCTTGGTATTGGTTTAATATGCTTCACAGTTTATTTAATGCTTTTTCTTTACCTTATTTTATTTTCAAATGCTATTGTACTATATATGTGGAAAATTGTTCAGGCAGCAGCAGAGTGACAGCGTTTCGGCAACTAACAAATACTCAAAATTTATTATACAAATACCAAAATGCCTACTTTGAACAAATAAAATACTATTAAAATACTTTCTTGTTACAGATTGAACAAAATTATTAGAAATGTGTTATAAATAAGAAATTTTAAATATATTTATATATTTGAGATGTTGTCTTACAATTTATAATTTATTAGCAGCAATAAATAGTTTTAAAAATATTAAAACTAAATATCGATAGTTTATAAATATCGATTATGGACCCACCTGAATTCGTATATCGATTGCGGCATATATTCCACGTCAAGCGCTTGCAGTCCGAAGATTTTTTATTTTAATTTGTTTGAGTTGAGCGCAATACATTAAAAATGGTGAGCTTGCTACAGGAAATCGACACAGAACATGAGGATATGGTTCACCATGCGGCGCTTGACTTCTATGGACAGCTGCTGGCTACCTGTTCGTCAGACGGAAGCATCCGAATCTTCAACTCCCGTAAAAACAACAAGGTTCTCACTGAACTGAAGGGACACCAGGGTCCTGTGTGGCAAGTAGCATGGGCACATCCAAAGTTTGGCAGCATCTTAGCATCGTGCTCCTATGATCGCAAAGTAATTATTTGGAAGTCAACTACACCCAGAGATTGGGCTAAACTGTGAGTGTCTGTTGTTTGTATATGTGTAATGCGTGTCAATGTTTTATGTTGACGTTATCTGTACCAGCAACAGATGTCGTCTATATTTAGATTCAGTTCCCCAATTATTGTAATTGCATTACATTTCAGATACGAGTACAGCAATCATGACTCCTCGGTCAATTCCGTGGACTTTGCGCCTCCAGAATATGGTTTAGTTCTTGCTTGTGCCAGCTCGGATGGTTCGATTTCAGTGCTCACCTGCAACACGGAGTACGGTAGTTGGGATGCCAAGAAGATACCCAATGCTCATACAATTGGAGTTAATGCTATTTCTTGGTGCCCGGCACAGGCACCCGATCCTGCCTTTGATCAGCGAGTCACTTCGCGCAATACCGCCGTAAAACGTTTGGTCAGCGGAGGGTGCGATAATCTCGTTAAGGTGTGGCGTGAAGATAATGATCGCTGGGTTGATGAGCACCATCTCGAAGCACATTCCGATTGGGTGCGCGATGTTGCTTGGGCTCCATCGATTGGCTTGCCCCGCATGCAGATCGCCTCGGCCTCACAGGACCGTCACGTTATCATTTGGAACAGTAATGCTGATTTGAGCCAATGGACACCAACCGTGTTGCACACATTCGACGATGCCGTGTGGAGCATTTCCTGGTCCACCACAGGCAACGTGCTGGCTGTCACTGGAGGTGACAACAATGTCTCACTGTGGAAAGAGAACAGTGAGGGTCAATGGATACGTATTAACTATGAATCGGGCACTGCCACCCAATCGAAGCAGTCGCATCATCTGCGCAATCCCCAGCAGCAACCGCAACAGCAACCGCCATCAAACAAGCCAGTTATGTCGGACTCTGAGCGCAGCTCGAACTTATCCAATTCGAACTTGTCACATTCGCAGATGTCAAACTAGATATATTTTATAGATCGTGTGAATGGCCTAATTACAAATATTGAAAATGTTGGTCATTAAATCTAACAAATTAAAAATATATATATAATATAAAGTTAATGTTCCGCTTTCATTAATTAGCGAGCGGAACTCTGCGTAGCGCAATTTCGCAAATTTCAGCATTATTAGCTCCTAATGGCTTTTATTCGAGTAATTCGCAATAAGTTCGTCTATATGTTTTCCCTCTCCCCGAGCCTAATGACTAGCTTTGCGTCCAAAGAGGACGCCCCAATTGCCATATTCCTGATGTTCCTGCCGTTTCAGTTAATTTCATTTTATTCATAAGGAAGGAAGTTACGCATTTCGCATAAATTTGCAACACGTGCCGCCCTACTATGGAACCAAACAGAGCAGGAAAACTAATTTGCCATATATAGTATATATTTGTGTATGCATTAGCAAGTTTTAATAGAATCAGTTTACAATATGGCGTGTTGAAGCCAAAATATAATTGAAATAACAAATTAATTGTGTTTGAATATTGTGATTTCTTATGCGGATTTTATACTCTCAAATTTGTTAAAGAACTTCAGAACATTGATTAAATTGATCGACTCTTGTCAAATATTTTTGAATTCACTGAGATTTCCCAGGATCTGGTGACTGATTATTGTGACTATTCAAGGAGATAGATTTCCAGTTTCTGCTCGACTTGAATACTTTTATCTGGCGAATGTTTATTGGTATCGAATTCCAAGTTTGATCAATTGCGCATTTCCCGATGCGCATGAAAAATCGCTTCAATAGCACAGGTATTTGTAAATTCAATTTCAATGTGAAAGATGTCAATATAAACATAGCGACATTTTTCTAATTGCTTTCAATTTTATTGATGCACTTCGAGTAGTTACAAAACTGCCACAATCCACACTATTGTATCGTCATGGCACTCTTATGGTAATTGCATTTTAATAATTTAAAGCACTTTCATTGCATGCGAGCGACATTTGTAATTTAAATTCCAATCACAAATACATCAATGTTTGCTGAAATACAAAGAGTCTTAGCAGCTTTCAATACGTGTGACCTGGAGGGGGAGCAAGGGTGACACAGCTCAGCTAGAAGGGCTTCGCCTTGAAGGTTAATGAGGAAGAGCTCCTAGGTCCAGTTAGCAACAATGCAGTCGAATACACAGGTCACTGTATAAAGCAGTGTATTACTTACCTACCTACCTCACCATAAAACTAGAAGGCTCAGTCGAGACTGCTCGACTGGGAGATACCCTGTACCCTCCAAGCTGATATTCTACTCATTCTGCACTTTTTTTATGCACACATACATACACACGCATCCAAAGCACAAGTTCTTTACAGATTGGGGGCGAATGGGGCGTGGTATTTAAAATCTGTAAATTACAAAATGTTTGTATCGATCAACTGTATATACACAGTAAATCTGAAGTCTCTAGGTCTAAAAGTGCCACGCCTCCTTCCACCTGTTACATACTTTTTACAAAACCATTATACCCTGATTTCCCATTTTCAATGGGTTCAGGGTATACAAATATTAAATGAAAAATGTAGGATTTCTCAATATTAAAACTTTTAGAGCTCTATCTAATTTTTCGAACAATATTATTATTATATTTACCCTTTTAATATACCCTTTATACACGTTCTACATTTTAAAGAACATTTGTTCCTGTGAGTTCAGATGACAACATGAAGGAACTTCTTTCCTTATACCAAGTAAATAGAAATCAAAATTGTTTGTTGTGTATCCTGAACATGTACATATGTAACAGAAAGAAGGCAGCGTAGTATACTGTAGCAGTAATGGTGCGATTCAATTTCAATTTCAGTTTTCCTGACAGCATTCATGTTCATCAACTTGTTAAAAAGCCCTCTGTCAATTGAAGCGTTTTAAGGGTATGGTAAAATTCTTGCACTTTGAGCCTAGTTTTGGAATGTGAAGTGGCTATTGTAGATTTTGGTGTGTAACGCTCTTAATTATTGGCTTAGCCATGGGTTGGGCTGCACATAAAGGGCTTTCCACTTGCTGGACGCGTCACCTAAGTAATTGTTGACTCTGAGGCTACATGTACAATACATGTATACATACATACATATATGCGCCTTAGGGGCTCAGCACTCATACTAATTGTCGGCTGGTAGGCGCTCTGCACCAGCTTGGACACTGATGATGTCATAGATTGCGTGCACTCGAGCCGTCATCAATATTGTGTACAGAGTCAACAACCAAGGAGCCAGACCATAGTCCAAGTCCAGGTCGCAAATGCTGCATGAAAGAGTCGCTTGCGCCCCAGAAGCGGACTTGCAAACGAACTCGTTCGCCCGCAATCAGCGCGGTTTAATCGCTCTGCTCGCCCACCACCATAATCCTTCGCCGCGCCGGACTCCAACTGACCGCATTGCTTGAGAGCGTTGCAAAGGTTTTCTTAGTATGCGGCATTGATTTTTTTGCTCCATTCTCTCAGTCGTTCTTATTTTTGAGTTTCTGGGCTGTTTGTGTTTTGGTTCTTTTAGCACTTTTACTTTTGTACGCACGTAGAAAATTTGCATATTATTCGGCATACAGGGTGCTCCAACTGCGGCTGGAATGGACTGGGCTGGGCTGGCCTGGTCTGGGAATGAAAGTTGAATAGAATTTAAGCATGTGTAAGCATGTGTACCTTGCATCCATTGAAAATGCAAATTCAATACAATCATCGTCCTTGAAATATTGAATATTGAAATATTTTGTATTGATGCGGGTCTACGTATCAAAAGGCGGAGGAGCTCACCTCACAGTTGCTGGCGACACCATCTCACCTCTTAAGCATAAACTCTTGAAATTTACATAGACACAGCCTAGCCTGTCCCCTCTCAACTAATGTTACTGTAGCACAGCACAATCTGAAGTTATTGAAAGCCAGCCGAACTATTATTATGTGCAATGAATATAACATGGAGAGAGCAAGCAAGCAAGGGATAATGACAAATATTAGTAGAGGAAAAATAAAATAATTGAATATAGAGCATATCTATGTATATAATATCCCATATAATATATTATCATATCATTATTATACTATATTACATATATATTATAATAATAATATAAGCTTCAGATTTGTTAAAATAAAATTATTAAGCTAATCTTCTTTGACAGTACTCCACATTAAATCACATATTATCTTTATTACATAAATTATCGGACCTAGCCACTTAAGTTAGGTTTAATTTTTTCAAGGGACTTTTTCACCCTTTTCTCCTGATAACCATTACATTTAATTGGATAAGTATACACAATAAAAAATCCATACAATAATATTAAAGTACATATTTTTACCACTCACTACTTATTTTGATAATACTATTACTATTTACAATAAAGTGTATTATTGAATAGAGTGAAATAAATAAAATAAAATAAACATTCATCCAGTTTCATTACGCATTTTCTACAGTCCCAATTTGAGTTATAGTAGAGCATAGCCCTACCGAGTAGATTTATTCTATTCAGAGCGCTACTGAAAGATCTTATAGCATTATACTTGAATAGCATACCGATAAGGATAATTAGTTGTGCAGCTTTTCACCTCACAACTCGTGACGTCGATGAGTCGTGCCCAGCTGGCCAGGAGAGCCAGAGCCATAGCCGGAGCTAACCGCTTATGACAATGATGTATGTTTGTATTTAGTTAACTACGCAGGAGTTATTAGGCGTATGCCGTGAGCATTCGCATTCGCATTTCGTACACTTAATTTGAATGCTGTTGACTATTTTGGGAAACAGAAAGGTCAAATGGCTACGCTGCGTATGCGTAATAAAACGAAAAGTTAACACTCTGCCCCGCAGGAACTTGCCAAGTGTCTGACCCATTAGCAAGGACAATCGAGACTATACATATGTATATATATATATATATATATATATATGTGTGTGTGTGTGTGAAAGTGAATGCAAGAACTACATGTTCAGAAATGAAAATCAAAAGAAAGTTGTAATCTTTATTTGACCGGGTTTAATCTTTGCACAGATCTCGATACAATTTCTGAATGTGCATGCAGGAATGCAGCGCAAGTAATTCGCATGTGGAGTCCAGTTTTACAGCGGGAGGGAGAGAAATCTAGATGCAATTAGACTCGACGATAATATGAAATTAAAGCACCTCAAATTGGCGTTCACTCAAGAGTTAATGGGCTCAGCTCTGGGCTTTGGTTTCATAGCGCAAATATGATGACCTCTAGGCATGCTCAGAGCCCGCTCTATAGATTTCGTGAGGAAATTATACCTATACTCGGTCTGTTGGCCATTTTGCATTTGCTTTGGCTATGTCGCACTAATTAATCATCAGTTAAGAATAACATGGCAGCCAGATTGTGGACAAAGAAATGGTTCTTTAATTACTGCTCCGCGCTCCACGTGTTACTGCAGCACCTCAATTTTTAGTTTATTCCCATTGTGGTGCCGCTGCTCTTGGTGGCTATTGATGGTGGTGGTAGGTTTTTGCTTTTGGACAGGTTTCGTGATTTTTCTATATAATTTTCCATGGATTTGCACCAGAACATTTATCAATAATGTCAAGACGTCTGTACGTACTTACTTCTTCTGTATTTATATATAATAAAATATTTGTAGCTCCTTAATTAGGTATAGCATGCAATATATATGTATTGGTTTCTTATAAATATATATATTATATATAACATTTAATTTTGCCAACCAAATTTATTTAAAACTAAAAATATAAAATAAATATATTTTATATTTTAGATTTTACTACTGTTCCTTTCTGCTTTGGTATTGTCTATTTGTTGTCAATAAAGTCCAAGTGAATGAAAGATTTTTACCAGGTTATATGAGGATTGTTTTACTCGGTTCTACAATATGGCTCATTTCAGAACTATATCATATAGCTTTATAAGATAATCAGAAGAACAGAGAAATATAGCTTAACAATAATTGAGTGGTAAAATTTTTAGTTTATTGCCTCTACCTTAATAGTCGTAGTATATTTATGAGTGGATTGGATTAAAAATTTCAAATCACCGAATTTTTATGTAAGCAATAACATATAGTCATGAAGTCATATAAGCCATGAAGTTCATTTTTAAGGATATGCAGTCTATATAAGGTCATTTTGGTTCTACTCTACGTCACTATTGAAAATAGAGCCTATATGCATCCAATTTTCAATAGGTTCTCGAATAATCTGTGTTAGAAAACAAAAGAATATTTTTTGTAAAAATTTGAGAGTTATTAGATTCTCTAAAATTTTAAATTTGCCAATTATGCCTATAAATATAAAGGCGTTGGTATTTCTACAAGAGAAAAGGACTTGCTTGAGTTCTACTCAAGAAATAGAATTGAACAGAAAGTCCTTTTTAAATGGGAAAGTTTCAGTCAATGTCCCAAAATTAGAAAAGTTCCGAATAAAGCCAAGTACTACGAACCATAGCCCAAAAATGAGACTAATTAATATGTAAATATATAACATTTAGTTCATTATATTTAGTTAGCGT